TTAGGTACAAAGAGCCACAGTCCACAGAACAAATATTTCATCCTAGGATACTGATGTCATGAGGTTTTGTCGAGTGTAATGATAACAGAATTTATATTAAGAATAATGTCCGTTAATCCAGCACAGGCCAAAATCCTTTGCATAACGTAGACCATAAATCATGTCAAAGAACAGATGCTGTTTCTGCGTTTCACCGGGGAGTTAGATTGAGTAACAGATCAGTTGCTGGCCACGCTAACCACAACAGTTTGCAAAGGGATGATGTAACAACCGCTTTTATCATTTTCTCCTCCTTTTTCATACCATACTTTGTGCCTAGACAGTCACAATAGCCAATTCACTTGCATTTGATATGGCAGTATAAGGTGTGATTTCACGACGAATACACACACATTGAAACCTACCTTGGGCAATCTGCAATAGTTCGTAGAGTCAGAGAGAAGTGGGGCCAGAAAGGAGCTCCAGAGGCCATCCAGTCCAACCCCCTGCCCAAGGCAGGACCACCCCCACCCAAACCATCCCATATAATCCATCATCTAAACTCTACATAAGTCTTCCATTGGCCCTGACACCACACACAACACAAACACCCTAACCTGCCACAGGTAACACAGAGGAACCACGGCAGCTGATGTCTTGCTTCTATAAAATGCTGTCAATATACGCTCAAGAGATCCCAGGTAGATGGCCATGTGTCTCACTACAGAGGAAGGCAAAACCCCCAAAGTCTGTACCAATCTGACCATGGGGTAAAACTCCTTCCCAACCCCAAATAGGGTGCTTGGTCTGACCCTGAGTAGAAGGGAAGATCCTCTAGACAGGAACCTCTGGCTTTGGCCCCAGCACAAGCATTGACACAACTCAGTCAAAGTCCCCAGCCGTGACGGTAGCCAACATGCAACGCCTTGGGGGAGGCTTAAAAACACCCTGGCACATATAGCAGAAAGAGAGGGCAGGGGCAACCAGCAAAGCCCAGAAGCATGGGAAGTACCCATAGTATAACATAGGCATAGCTACACCTAGATTATCCCCAACCAGTGCATGTCCAACCTCTTCCTGGAGACCTCCAGCGATGGAGAGTCCACATCCTCCCTAGGCATCTATTCCATTGCCTCACTATTCTCACAGTGAAGAATTTTTCTGGATATCCAATCTAAACTTACTTTGCTGCAACTTCAAGCCATTGGTTCATGTCCTCCTCTCTGCAGCAAGAAAGAAAAGGTGTTTTCCCTCTTTATAGCAACCCTTCAAGTATGTAAAAACTGCTAACGCATTCCCTCTTAAGCACCTTTTCCACGAGCTGAACATGCCTAGCTTCGTCAGCCCTTTCAAGTCCTTGATCATCCTTGTTGCCCACCTCTGGACCCTCCCTAACTTCTCTATGTCCTTTAAAAAATGTAGAGCCCAGAAGAGCACACATTACTCCAGATGAGGCCTAACCAGTGCCACATAGAGAGGCATTATCACCTCCCCTGTCTTGCATCTAATGTTTCTACTGATGCAGCCCCAAACTGCATTCACCTCTTAAGCAGCTGCATGACACTGCAGACTCATATTCAGTCTGTGATCTACCAAGACTCCCAGATCCTTTTCCATAGTGCTATCATCCTGCCAGGTGTCATCCATCTTATATTTGTGTTTTTGATTATCCTTCCCTAGGTGTAGCACCTTGAATTTGTTCACATTGAACTTCATCCTCTTATCTCCAGGCCAACCTTCCAATCTGCTGAGATCCTTCTGAATTGTCTTCCCATACCCCAGCATGTTCACTGTCCTTCCCAGGTTGGTGCTGTTTGCATACTTGCTCAAGAAGCTCTCCATACCAGCATCCAAATCACTAATAAACATGTTGAATAGCATGGGGTTCAAGGTAGGTCCCAGTAGGAATCATAAATGATAGAAAATGAGGGTTGGAAAGGACCTCAGGAGGTCACATTTAGTCCAACCCCCTGCTCAAAGCAGGACCATCCTCAACTAGATCATCCCACCCAAGGCTTTGTCTAGCTGGGTCTTAAAAATCTCCAAGGATGGAGCGTCCACCACCTCTCACCACCAGTTCCAGTGATTTACTACCCTTCTGGTGAGAAGCTTCTTCCTAATATCCAACCTCAACTTCCCTCGCTGCAACTGGAGCCATCGCTCCTTGTTCTGTAATCTGCCACCACCGAGAACAGGCAGCTCCATCCTCTTTCAAACCGCACTTCAGTTAGTTGAAGGCTGAAATTAAATCCCCTCTCAGTCTTCTCTTCTCTAAACTAAATAAGCCCAGTTGCCTCAGCCTCTCCTCACAAATCATGTCCCCCAGCCCCCTCAGCATTTTTGTTGCCCTCCTCTAGACTCCTTCCAATTTGCCTACATCCTTTCTGTAGTGGGGGGCCAAAACTGGACACAGGACTCCAGATGTGGCCTCACCAGTGCTGAATAAAGGGGAAGAATCGCTGCCCTCGATCTGCTGGCAACGCTCCTACCCATGCAGCCCAGGATGCCGTTAGCCTTCTTGACAACAAGGGCACACTGCTGGCTCATATTCAGCTCACTGTCCACTGTAACCCCCAAGTCCTTTTCTGCAGAGCTGCTGCCCACGCAGTCACCCCCAGCCTGTACTGGTGCATGGGGTTGTTCTGTCCTAAGTGCAGGACTTTGCATTTATCCTTGCTGAACCTCAGGAGATTTCTTTTGGCCCAATCCTCCAATGTGTTGAGGTCACTCTGAATCCTAGCCCTGCTCTCCAGCATATCTACTACTCCCCCAGCTGGGGGTCATCTGCAGACTTGCTGAGGGTGCGCTCTATGCCATCTTCCAGATCATTGAGGAAGTTATTGAACAAAACCTGCCGCATGAACAACCCCTGAGGCACTCCACTTGATAGCAGCCGCCAACTAGACCTCGAGCCATTGACTACTAACGTCTGAGCCCAATGACCCATCCAGCTTTCTATCCACCTTACAGTCCATTCATCCAGCCTGTACTTCCTTATCTTGCCTGCGAGAACGCTGTGGGAGACCAGATCAAAAGCCTTGCTAAAGTCAAAGCAAACAACATCCACAGGTCTCCCCACATCCCCAGAGCCAGTCATCTCATCACAGAAGGCAATCAGGTTGGTCAGGCATGACTTTCCCTTGGTGAGTCCATGCTGACTGTTCCTAATCACCTTCTTCTCCTCCAAGTGCTTAGAAGTGGATTCCTTGAGGACCTGATCCATGATTTTTCCAGGTGCTGAGATGAAGCTGACTGGCCTGTAGTTCCCTGGATTCTCCTTTTTCCCTTTCTTAAATATGGGGACTAAGTTTGCCCGTTTCCAATCATCTGGGACCTCTCCTGATCACTACAGGCTTTAAAGATGCCCAGTGGTTCTGCAATCACATCAGCCAACTCCCTCATCACCCTAGGGTGTACCACATCTGGCCCCATGGATTTGTATATGTCCAGATTTTCTAAATAGTCCCTAACTTGCTTGCAACTATTGAGCCAGTTGTCCAGCCACCTTACAGTAGTTTTGTCCAGCCCACATTTCTCCAGTTTGTTTATGAGAAGATCATGTGGTCATCGCTGCAGTCTGAGAAACGTCACGGTGAAGGTGATTTCCTTAGCAATACTATTACAAGCGTTTCAAAAGACATTGTGTGTTTTAGAAAGATAGGTAAGCAGCATATAAAATAATATCTGTATAATCATGGAATAATATAGAAATATATGTACCTAATTCATTTTAAACAACATTTTACAATATACAGATACTCATCTAACCCTCTTAACATTTCATTTGCTTTATAATACGGAAGCGGTTACCTTCAGGTGATACAGTGAAAAGGCAATGAGAAGTGAAAATCTAAGGTGAATCCAAATAAAATGCTGTAAAGGCAAATGACTTCTATGCCTTATCCCCTGTTTGACTGTCAGTTGCACAGGGATCTTTTAATAGATGAATGCATCTGGCTTACTTGAAAATAAAGTGTACAAGAGAAGCAGGTAACAGGATCTCCAGAAATATAACCCTGTGTGTATGTGTTGGTCTACCCCAATGAAGTCTATATAAAACAGCATACCTACCAAGATACAGTTGTTGATTAATCAAATCTATGCACTGAATGATTTTTGAATGAATGTATAAGTATTTAAGCAATCAGAGCTCATAGTAGTAATACTTCATACGTATTTAGAATGTATTTTATTATAAGGATTGAGGCACTAGCCAGCTTCCAAATTACTTTAAAATTGTAAACAGATCAATAAAATATATATATATAGAGAGAGAGAGAGAGGTATCAATTGTGCTCAGCTGATACATACATCCATACATACATACATATACACATACACACATATACACACATGTATACATATATATACATACACACACACACACACGTATGTATATACATACACACACACACACACACACACACACACACACACACACACATATATATATAGTGGAATTGCATTCTGGTCATGGAAAAAACATGGATTTTGTGCTTTTGAATCAGAGAATTTGCAATTTTTAAACAAAGAAAAAAAAATTAATTTTTAAACAAAGAGAAACCAGGATCCCTGCTGAAAAATTATAAGCCAAGCACAGACAGGTGAGGGAGCGCAGAAAGATTTTGTGAAAGAACCTCTCGTGAGTTCACAACATGGATTTCTGCAAGCAGCTCAAAGGACTAAAAAAGAAACTGCCACGGGTAAAGCGTACGTTGCTGCTCTCGTTACCAAATAAAACATCACACGGCAGCCTCCGGAATCAGGCCTCAAGGAGGAGGCGGCTGATAAGAGCTAAAACCACTGGTGCTCAGTGGTGGTTTCCCACAAACCACCGTGGCCAAACAGGTCTCACCCCAACCCGGACAGGACAGACACGGTTGAATTTTCCAGTGACGAAGCTGAAAGAATTCAACAGACACCTCGGTTTCTTGTTTCTTAGATTTCATAGACACCAGGGCTGGAAGGGACCTCTCCAGCTCATCGGGTCCAACCCCCTGCCCCAGGGGCAGGAAGTCAGGTGGTGTCAGATCACCCCAGCAAGATGAGCAGCCAAGCGTTTCTTTTCACCACCACTGGCTGATGAGGAGGGCCAACTCGCCATCTGATTGGACACTTCATCAGAAATAAAGGCATCCACAACATTTTTGTTAAAGACAGAAATCAACCCAGAGCAACCCTCAGACACTGGATGGAAAAAACTGCCATTCGGGTCCCGGCCTCTGTCCCTGCAGCCAAAACGCCTGGAATTCAACAGACCAAGACTGAGATTGTCATCGTCCAGCAGCTGGCAGCACTCGCGATCGGGTACGCTTCTTCCCCGAGGAACTAACACCCTCCGACTAATGCTGAGGAGGTCTTTAAACTTCCCATCTGGGCAGAAATCTCAAAAGAAAACCAAACCACATAACCCTTTGAATAGCTGAGCTACTAGAGCAAATGGCATCAATATCAAATGATATGAATGTGGCTCATTATGATGAAGCTGGTGCCTCTGAATGCTCCTATCCAAGCATAGCAAAACCATTGCAATTTTAACCCTGTTTCAGTCCTGTGTCATAGGTAGGACTTAAGGCAGCTTTGAAGAACTGACCTTGCAATCAGCTGCAATGTATATGGAGCAAAAATATTTGTGTTTTGTTTTCCCCAAGGGTGCCTTGGTTGTATGAAGACAAAAGCAGATAGCCGAGTGACAACAGTACATGCAATTAAAATTGGCAATGCATTTGACTAATGAGTTCAATTTGAGTGTGAAAAAATTACGAGGAAACCCGCATGCAATTCAGAATACTAGAATGATACATTCATTGCACAGAATAAGCCTTGAATGATTTGAAACAAGAAATTGTGCTCAGCTATACTAAAAAAATAGATAGTGGTGGCAAACCTGAATGGTTCAGCACTTTGCTTGAAACTCTATGGAGTTTGTGATCCAGAGAAGGCAGCAGCTTAGAGCAATTAAGGGTCGGGGGGCTGCCGGCCATTGATTTTGTTTATTGCTATATAACATGTAGCTAAATCTCAAGATTTAGTTAAAGTTGCTGAAGAGCCTAGAACATCCCAGAGAAAGCAGAATAATTTAAAGTATTGTCTGTCTGCAACGTCTATGGTTTAACGTGCTATAATTAAGTGAACTGTCATTCTTACCAATTAGGCCAAACTGGGTTCCTCAGTTTTAACTTTAGAGTGGTTTGGTTGCATTTACGTGGGCTATGCCGGATCTCCCACTGAGAGTCAGCGTGATGCAAAGTGGGTAAGAATCCTGCTGTGTTTAGACAGGAAGCAGGATGTGGAACCAGAAAAACAGCCTACCTAAAAGTCCGGAGTCAATTGATTTGGTTAATTATTTCTTAGTAAATTGTAAAATCACCTGCCAAATTTGTGCTGATAAATGTCAAACTGGGACCCTTTACTACCCGCTACCTTTATTTTGCTCTTTTTTTTTTTTTTGTAATTGTTTCATTGCTTTCAACCCTATTTTGGATAATAACATGCAAATACATGCAATCCTTCTCCTGTCTCTAAATGTAGTTGTGGAACAGGGATCAAAAGAACCGTGAGAAACCTGGTATAAGTTACAGGCAAAAATGACTCACCAGAAATGTTTGTTTTTAAGAGCTACCTGTCCTTGTACTGCTGCATTTTCCTGAAAGGCTCCAGCCATTTGTCATGCTGTGTGGATAACCATCAATGCCAACTGATTGCAGCCCAGGTGTCATCCCTATCAGTAGCATCCACACAGTAGAGCTCAATCCTCTAAAATATCCTGAGTCCTAAACATGCAGGTTTTCTCTATTTCATCATTACCTCGATGCTTCCTCTCCAGGGACACTGAACCACCCGCTGGCTGACCTTCTGCCATGAGGACCCTTTACCTCCTGTTTGCAGTCTCCCTCTTCATGATCCAGATTGCCCCAGGTAAGATGTAAATAAAATGGACATGTTGGTGAGCTCCTGTTAACCTTATATGTTGATATATTGAATTATAATGATTAATTCTGCCTTTTTAGAAGAATTCTGAATTGGCTTCATGACTTCTTGCAGACAGCGCTTACCTGTTTTGATGTTGCCTTTGCCCGAAGACCTATTGAGAGTTGACTGAATCTGGACCAGCTGAAATATGACTGTCTCCCCTCTTGCTGGGAGCCGGAGGCCTAAACACTTGTAATGCATGTGCTGTTGGCTTAGCACGGCATGAGAGACAAGGATTGGAGGGCAACAAAACAGGGCAAACTACTTTTACAATGTTCGTCAGCCCAGGTGATAATGAACCAGGCTGGGACCCAAAAGACCTTGAATCCAAGTCTCCATTTCTCTGCTGACTGCTGTTAATAACTTAGGGCTTGCGGTATTATGCATAGACAAGGAGGGGTGGAAGGGATTCAGGGGGTCACATCTAGTCCAACCCCCTGCTCCAAGCAGGACCAGCCCCAACTATATCACCTCATCCACGGCTTTGCCCAGCCAGGTCTTAAAAACCTCAATGCATGCAGATTCAACCTCTCTAGGTAACCTGTTCCAGTGCTTTACTACCCTCAATTAAGTCAGGTCTTCTTGCCAGTAAGCTGGAAAAAGAACCCCTAGTCCACGAATCCAGTGTTTTAGCCCACATTGAGCAGACTTTGCCACGTCTCTGTGCCTGGCTTTGTTCCTAGAAAGGACATCCTCTGCGACTGCGCGCACAGAAAGGACAAGGCATCGGTACGATCTCAGAGAGAAGGAAAGAGGTTTGTTGTGGGGGGGAAGCCACTTCCTGTTAGAAATGGTGTAACTGGAGTGTCCCAAGCAATTTGGCAGAGGCGTTTCCCAGAGAACCTGGCTTTGGGACGTGCCTGGTCATAAAGAAGCAATTTCCACAGGGCCGAGTCTTCCCTTGAGTGCCCATGCCGAGTCTCACCTCCCCCTGGCAGGAGTTCCCACTGGAAGGGACGTGTTCAGCTTCTTCCGTTTCTAAAATCAGGGTCAGTTCAATGGCATGTGGAGCTGGTTCAACACCTCTAAGCCCATGAGCAACTGAGGTGCATTGTCCTTGACAAGCAGAAAGAAACCAAAACTGAGCTGCAGCGACTAAGAGGTGCTGACGGTTCAGGCAGTTTCTTATTATTCTGTTTAATTGCTTTGCTCTGTCCTTCTCCCCGTGGAGACTCACCCTGAACACTTTGCATTTCTCAGCAGTGCCCCCTCCTTCTTCCTCCCCACTTCCCTCCTCTTTGCATTTTAATCACTGCTTTCTATTTAGCAGCTCCGCTTCCTGCACGCCCTTCATGGCATCTGATGAAGCGAGCTCTCTCCTTGCCAAAGCTGGAGCTTTTGAATCTCTGATTCAGTTTGGTCTACATGGGTGCAAATCCACCCTGCCTCCCACAGACCTACAACTATTCGAGCTGCGTGATATGCTAGGAGACAATTGAGGTGGTGTGCCCACATCTCCGGGGCAATGGAAAATTGTCGTGCTGCCACAGCTCTGCAGGAGGATAACCCAGAGCCTCTTTCCTTGTGCAGGGTTCTTCCAGATTTACGGGAACACCAAACTCTGTAAGCTCAGCGGTGGCTCATGCTTCCTGAGGTCATGTCCCCGCAAGTTCGTAAGCTTTGGAACTTGCACCCGAGAGTGCATGTGCTGTATACGGTAAGGCCAGATCCTGCCGGGGACATTGCTGCGTTAAAAGAAACCTGCGTTCCTTACCCCTGTACTGACGGCCTGTGGTTGAGGCCGCTGGACTTAATACACCCAAGTTGCCGATGGTCTCTGAAATGCGGTGCAAGAGATGTCACAGGCACAACCCAGACATCAGGGATGGTTCAGAGGTTGAGGGCACAAGCCTGGGAAGTCCAAGAGCTGCAAGTCAACCAGCCAGGAGTGCTAAAGCCAGGAGTCCAGACACTAGGGCTAAGTGGTGGTGGCAGGCAGGACTTAGGCAAGGCACAGTTGAGGCAGGAAGCAGGCCAGGGAACAGCAAACTAGGATCAGGTAGCAGACTAGGACACAAAGTCCATGTCTACATGAGGCGCTGACTGCACAGTAGCTTGCTACTACTGCGCAGTAGCGTTGCATGGCAGGAAGTGTGACTCTATGCAGTTGTGAAGTAGTCATGAGCTCTGGCGCAGTCAGCATCACCTAAAAGACATTCGGCGATGCTACTGCGCAGTAACTCCGGTTGCTGCAGTCTTTTAGTACTTGTGAATACAAGTACTAAATGACTGCCAAGTAACAACTGCACCGTCAGCATCTCATGAAGATGTGGCCAAAGGAACTAAGTAGATGTCACCTTCATGCCGCCGTAAACATTTCTATGGAGGCAAGCAAGCAGACGTCCAAATCTTCTGTCCCACCACAAATGCTCCAATTTGTGGCTGCGACAGAAGGTACTAATCAATTGGGCCGCTTTATTTGCTAATGGTTGAAAAGCTCAGGCATCGTGAAGCTGCTCCACACTCTCCAGCCTCCCCAGGCAGGAGTTACTCAGGCTTAAGAGGCTTAGTCCTGCACACCTTAGAAATTCCCAGGCAGCCCCCTCAAACCTCGGGAGCATCTGCCTGGCTACCCCCGCTTACCCAGATGTGTCCCCCAGGGATATGCCTGGGTAAGTCAGGCAAGTCAGGGCTTTGGGGGGGGGTGTCTGCAAGCAGGGGAACTCAGGTGCACCTGCAAGCATGCAGTGGGGGATCCCCTATAGAAAGTCCCCGTGCTCCATGCTCCTGCCACAGGGTCAGCTGGGGTGCTTGTACACACCACGGTGTTTTAATTTGGTTTAGTTCTCCCTAAATTGAAGTGATGGGTTTTAAAAAACCCACCATTTCCACTGCTTCAATTTAGGGAGAACTAAACTGAACTAAAACCCCATGGTGCATGCACAACGGTGGGGGCCTGATCCTTACCTGGAGACTTGCTTGCCTGCCTGCTGCCCTGACTCCTGACCAAGGGAGGCTTTTCACCACTTCGGTACCATGCCAGCACTGGACCATCTGGGGCTGAAGGGCCCCAGAACAACCCCAGAGGCTGCTCTTAATCCCTGCCGCTCCCTGGACTCCCCAGAGCTCAGACGACAGCAGCCAGAGTCTTGATAGTGCTCCCTGCTAGATCGTAACCTTACCCAGCAGCTCTTTTCCAACACCATGCCCACAGGAAGGGTTGCGGCAGCCTTACACTACTCCCAGCACCTTGCAATATGCTGTAGGCTGGAGTGGGGGCCAGAGACAACAATTTTATCGTGTTTTATTTTTTGCATCAGGAAGTCAACCAGGAAAAATAAACCTGAAAGAGAGGGTGGAAGCAGGGGGCTCCTCTGTATCCTTCAGCTCAGGAAGCAAAGGCAACAATATTAAAAATAAACAGAAAAGGGGGACGGGAATAAGACCTGTAAAAAAAAAAAAAATAAAATAAAACAGGA